ACAGCTGGACCTCACAGAGAGAGGCAGACAGATTATCGGCAGAGTGCTAAGTGCTCTAGTCAAGTTGTGCCAAGGGTATTAAGGGAGTGCAATGCAGGCAGGTGTGTGGCCCTGGGGTGGGAGCTACAAAACCCCAAGGAGGAGCAGTGTTTGAACTGAGCCTGGGTTATGCAGGGGCTCCAGGCTGCAAGCTCCAGGCTCCAAGGGTGCCCAGGCATGCAGGCAGGAAGTGTCGACACAGATAGGGAAATGCGGGGAGCCGGGGTGGCTGGAGCGGAGGGGGCATGTGATGACAAGATGGGAGAGGCAGCTGGACAGGTGCACCCAGACAGGGTGGAGGTGTAAACTAGGTTAAAGAGACTGGACTTTATCCAGAGGGAGCTGGACAACCAGGGAGGTTTTAGGCAGTAATGTGATCACAGAGCAACACTGTCCCATAGAATTTTCTGCAGTGATGGAAATGTTCTATGTCTGTGCTGTCCAAAATGGAAGCCACTAGCCACATGTGGCTATTGAGTACTTGAAATGTGGCCACTAAGACTGAGGAATTGAATTTTTAAATTTTATTTAATTTTAATTAATTTAAAATTAAATAGTCACAGGTGGCTAGTGGCTACAATATTGGACAGCACATCTCTAGAGAAAGGACTGGAACGGAGATGATTGGGAGGCAGGGACACCTGTGGAAATGGTCCAAGTAAGAGAGAATGAGGGCCTGAAGACAGTGGCAAAGACAGTGGCAAAGACACAGAGAGGACGGCATGGATGCTAGAGATTGTTAACAACTAGAACCGGGAAGTAGTCATGGTGATGAACTGAGGCAAGGGGGTGCTCAGAGGAGTCCCTCGGTGACCTGGCTGATTGGATGCTTGCTGTGTTATCACTGAGAACAGGAACCCAGGACAACGGGCGTGGAAGATATGACAAGTTCAATTTTGGACGTGCAGAAATTGACATGGCTGGGGACATCTAGATGGAGGCATCTGACAGCCCATGGGTCAGCTTAGGCTGTTTGGATTGCCTCACTTCATTTTTTTCCAATGGAGCCTACATTTTAAAATCAGTAGAATTTATATAAAAGTCTAGATTTCCATCTCCTCTTGAAAAATCAGAAGATCTGACACCATTGGGCTCGAATTCCCTCATGCAACAGTTATCTCGAGTTGCTTAGCGGCCCCTCCCTTAGAGGGGCCCGCTGCCTTTCACACCTAGCCCTTGTGGGCACTGTATTTGAGCACCCTGATAGTATATTTGGTTTCAAAAGAGACTCACAACCCCCCATCCCTCCGTCCCCCTTGAATCTGGGCCAACCTTGTGACTTGCTTTGACCAAAAGCAGCAGTGGTGACACCGAGTAACTTCTTAGGACCCAGCACCACATTAAGAAGCTCAGGCCTGAGGCCAGCCTGGTGGTGTAGCAGTTAAGTTTGTGCGCTCTGCTTCAGCAGCCCAGGGTTCCCAGGTTCAGAGCCCAGGCGTGGACCTACACACCACTTATCAAGCCATGCTGTGGCAGCATCCCATATAAAGTAGAGGAAGATGGGCACGGATGTTAGCCCAGGGCCAATCTTCCTCAGCAAAAAGAGGAGCATGGGCAACAGATGTTAGCTCAGGACTAATCTTCCTCACCAAAAAGGAAGCTCAAACTAGACTACAGAATCAGAGACCAAGAGGAGAGAAAGATACCCCAGCCATTCTGGCCCGCTCACCCCATCTGAGGCACCAATCATGGGAGCAAAGATGTCTTGGCTCCTCCAGCCCCGGTGGCACCAGCCAGCGCCCCCCTCAGAGCCCAAAGTGCAGAATCAGAAGCAAATAGCAAACCAACGGTGGTGGCTGTTTCCAGACACTGCATTTTGGGGTGGTTTGTCGTGCAGCAATAGAAAACCGAAACAATGGTTAAAAACGTGGGATGGACAAGTTTACGCAGAGAAAAGAGAGTGAGGACAACGCAGGGCGGGGCGTAGGTGAGACCGCTGCAAGGGCGGGTCAGATTCTCTCTTTACAATTTTGAGATCTGTCCATTGTGCATTTTCTGCATTAACTGTGATGATTTTAAATATTGCGCTAAAATATAAAATAGTCTTTATCTTGATTACTGAGTGTTTTGTGCTCAAGGCAAGTATCTCACTGGACTCGCCCAAGTCCCAGCCTTGGGAGAGGGACCACTCACCAACCCCGTGTAGCCCTGCATGACGGACAGCCAGGGAGGTGAGGTCAGGAGTGCTGCAGAGGCCAGGAGGCGAGAGGCAGCCTCCCCGGGCCAGGGAGGGAGGAGCACGTGAAGAAAGGGTCGGGGCCCAGCACCTCTGGAGGCCAGGCCGCCCCATGACCAGCCGCCTGGAGGTGGCGGGGGACAGGTGACCCAGATGTGCGAGTGAGCGGCCCCTCTCTGAGGGAAGCTTAACTCAACAGGCAAGAAGTTTTGTGAGAAGTTTTCAAGTTAAATTCTTCCAAAAGAGTTACTTACTTTTTAATAATAAACTAGTTCCATAAAGAATCTGTGCATTTCCATTATTTTGGTCCAGCCACAGAGCCCACGGGACAACCTCCAGCCATAGCCACAGCGGCCGGAGATACGACTTTCAGAAATTAAAGTCCAGAATGTCTAGCATGATGAAACATGCCAGGATAAGCTCAGATAAGACTAGTAAAACATTATCAATCTCTCGGTCAATGCAGCCAACCTCCCCGCAGAGCCGCCGGCATGTCAGGCCTTCAGGCTCCCTCGGCTTGGCCCCTGGTCCCAGCTCTGTAGCCAACAGCGCAGGCCACTGATCCCAGTCTCTGGGTCAGTTCATTTTAGGCAACAAGGTTGCTGACCTACTGTAGAGATTGGTCAAACCAAAACAAACAAAATAACTCTTCGAGGAATGGGCTTTCCTCCTCGTGACAACCAAGCTGAAAGAGACCCAGCCAGCATTGGTCACGGGGCAGGAACCACAGAGCACGGTGAACGCTGGGTAAAACAGAGTGGCAGAATTGAAATTCTGGGATCACATTTGCATGTTGTATAAAATTCTTAAACATATTTGGCCATTGCTCCCTGTAAAGGTTTGTTTCACAGAAGGAGTCGTTCCGAAATGTGTTCTTTAAAACACTTTTTGGGGAAAAAGTGAATTTAAATTTAGTAATGTGGCATTACAGTCGTTGGAAATAAAATTAATTTTATACTGTTGTTCTGACAAAGTCAGGGAAATGTACTATCCGAAGTGGCATATTTTTTCCAAAACTTTTCTTCTCTTCCAAAGGGAAGATTTTAAGCAAAGCTTCCCAAAGTATATTTGTTGGAATGGTGGTCCCATGTGATGCTCCTTTTTAAAAAAAAAAAAAAAAAAAGAAGAGGAGGACGGGAATAAAGAATTCTTTGGTCAAATCTACTTGCAAATCCTCTATGCCTCTCTTAGATTCATTATAATATTGGCATATTAATGCCTCTTAAAAGAACCGCAATACAAAAGCCTGTTTACAATAGATGTTAGCTCAGGGCCGGTCTTCCTCAGCAAAAAGAGGAGGATTGGCATGGATGTTAGCTCAGGGCTGATCTTCCTCACAAAAAAAAAAAAAAAAAAAAACCTGTTTAATTTTGCTTAACACAATCCCCAAACTGATTAGATCACGGAACCCTTTTCAAGTAACACTCATTAAAGCCCCTTGAGGCGAGCGCACCACAGAACCCACTTTGAGGAACACTGCCTTCACCCCTGGGGAGGGGGAGAGGGGATCTCATTCCCTGCTTTCCTCCAAATAGCTTTGAAATATTCATCATTTCTCTCAAATAACAAAGGACAAAATATTGTTTCTACTTTTAATTCATTTCGCCTACAATTCCTGTAACATTTGGTATCTGATAGAAACATTTTAAACAAAAAAGATACATTCAAAATTGGGAACTGACTGGCAGCAAACTGTTCCCTTCACCAGCCACCTGTGCGATTGAAGGGGCTGGTTCTGTTCTCAGTTTCTGTAACCTCTGGAACACCCTCCCAGGTACCAGAGCCTGCTGTTCCAATCTTCACCCAGCCACCCAGCTCGGCCCCTCTCCACCCAGCTGGGAAAAAAATGTGCTGATCCTTTTTTGCAAACCCATGAAGATTGGTGTCTAAAGAACTGACAGTATTGAAAGCATTTTGGAGTTCTTTGATTTCCTCACAAAACTTCACTGTCGCTAAATCCAAGGATGAGCCTGATGATATCTGCACGTCTACCGACTGTCCCCCTTAAACTGTGCTGTCATTTCTCTCAAGCTTCCGTTCACGCCAGCAGCGTATCATCTGATCAGCTCCAATGTGCCTCAGTTAGGTTCTAGCACATTTCTGGGAGTTGACATGCTTTTTGCTTGAGAGAACTAAGGGGGTATGATGCATTTATAGTTTCTCCCTGCTTCCCACCCTGTGATCAAAAAGAAATTTAAAGGACGATGTTATTCATTCAAAAATACATTTCCTAACGGCCCTCGATGTGCAGAGAACAAAACAGCAAAAATCCCGATCCTAATGGAGCTAACGCGCAAGCAGATGGCTCAGGCAGAGAAGTTTCCAGCCAATGTGGCGGATCTTATCACGAAAACCAGTCCGAGAAGGGGGCAAATCTACCTTTAACCGGGTTGCCGTTGTGCAAGGATGGGGTCCAAAGTCATGAGAAGAGGAGGGTTTATACAGACCGTCAGCTGCGAATGAAGAGCAGCTCATGAGGGGGAAGGAGTCTAGGCTGCTCGGGAGGAGAAAGACCCTGGCAGAGAAACGGAGCTGGGGTTGAAGCCCCCCTGGGCCCCCCCACCCCCGTGGAAACAGCGGGGGGCCCAGGCTGCAACGCCTCCATGACAGCCACCTGAAGCCTGGGGTGGCAGATTTGCAAGAGGCGAGGTGGCCGTGAGAGGGACACAGATGGGACAGTGAAGCCAAAACATTAGGGACCCTCATGCGGTACAAGCGAGCGTGTTAGTAAAGTCAAGTCGCCCCGACAGCTTTGGAGCCCTAACTCGATCCTTCACCAAAATACCTCTTGGGCCTCCAGCAAAGTTCACTGTGTTCTGGGCCAGGGCAGCGTGGCAGCCAGGGATAGGGACGGTGTTCAAGAAGAAGCTGTCCCACTTGCCGGCCATCTGTGGATTCCTGCATGAGAAGAGCACCAGCCAAGAGACACTGGGGCCTGAGAGCTCGTGGGACAGCCGTCAGTCCTCCTTCCCTCCCTCCCGCACCCGACGGCACTGCTGACGGCTCTCCCACGCCCCAGGCCCGGGTGCCATTGTCCCCGGCTCTCTCTCTGGTTTGAGTAGAGCACACTCTTCGGTGGCTCCCTGAGAAAACGCCCCAGAGAGATGCATGTTCTGGCTGTGCGTGGAAGACCTGCTTCGGCTGCAGCCTCTCACTCATTCTCACTGGCAGAGTGAGCCAGGAGCCTGGGGGTGTCCACGTTCTCGGAGCTTCCTGACTCTGAGCTTCCGTCATGGCACCCTGGCTCCCTGGGCCTCCATGCTGTTTCTTCCTCAACCACATGGGTGAGCTCCCTCCTCCGGGTCTCAGCACTCGCCATTCCCTGTCCAGAGCACTTTTCCCTCACATATATCTATTGATCTTTCTCATTCGGGTGTCTGCTCAAATGTCACCTTCTCGGTGACACCTTCCCTGATGACCCCACTTAAAATCTCAATCTTTCCCCATACCCTCTGCACACCCTCCCTGTTAGATTAGAATGCAGTCACACTGGAATAGGGTGCGCCCCTAACTCAATAGGACTGGCGTCTTTATAAGAAGGAAATTTGGAGACAGAGACACACAGGAAAACACCACATGATGACGAAGACAGAGATTGGGGTTGTGTAAGCCAAGGAACACCCCAGAGGCCAGGAGACCCCGTGAAGCAGGAAGAGATGAGGAAGGGCTCCCCAAGAGATCGAAGAGGGAGCATGGCCCTGCCAACACCTTGATCTTGGACTTCGGGCCTCCAGAACTGTGAGACAATACATTTCTGTTGTTTAAGTCACCCAGCTTGTGTGACTTTGTTATAGCAGCCCTGGGAAACCAATCCACCATCTGATATCCTGTATTTTTAAATTATGTACATAGTTTATCATCTGTCTCACCTCACAAGAACACCAGCAGCACAGGGGCAATGATTTCTGTCTGTTCTGTTCACGCCTGCGTCCTCAGTGCCTAGAGCAGTGCCTGGCACATGGTGAGTGTTTATAATGTTGGTGGAATGAATGAATGAATGAATGAAACCCATCACACCTCCATGCCCACTGAAGACTTGTGCCTAGCTGCCAGTCTGCCTCTCCCTTCCCAATCCTGGGCACCTTTGGTGAAGGATGGTAACCCCACCAGCACCATGTCCCTTCATGCAGCTCCGGTCCCCTGCCGCTCCACCCTACCTGAGCTTGGCGTCACCTGGAACTGTCCCATCTGGGCCAGCATTGGGGCTGGACCCAGGATCTAGCTACTTTGGGTGCAGATGTCTCCCAGAGAAGCTGTTGTCATCCAAGAAGGGAGAACAGTGGTAGTCAAGAAGATCCCAAGGCCTGTAGCCGAGGAGCAGCATCCCCCGCAGGGCTGAGGATGGAAGATGAGCCAGCGGGGAGGAGAACAAGAGTGGGATAGGAAGCAGAGCTAGAGGGAGCCAGGGTCACAGGGTTCTGGAATAGAGGCCGTGGAGACATCAGGCGCCGGGGCTCATCTCGTTGCGTGAGGCTGATGAGCGGGGCTGGAGGGCAGCCAGCTTCAAGGGGCAGGGGCAGGCCAGACAGACTCCTCTCCATCCTCCCCTCCCAGGGCCTCTCTGGAGAACTCGACTTCCACTCGCTCAACACGTATTTGCCGAGCACCTACTGTGTGCTGGGCATATGACGGGTCCCCGGGGAGGCACCGTGAACACACAGCAGGGGCCTGCCCTCTCGGAGTTCCCAGGACGGCAGAGAACAGGCACTGGCCGTGTAACTAAAACATGGAGGGAGACTCGCAAGCAATCCCAGGGTGCTGCGGGAATGCCTGACAGGGACCCTGGTTAGTCTGGAGGGGTGTCAGGAAAGGCTTCCACCAGGAAGGGACCCCTCAGACCTGAAGGAGAAGGGGCCAGCCAGGCCATGGGAAGGAGGGGCGAGAACAGCTTTTCAAAGGCCTAGAGGACACGACAGAGAGTGGTGAGAGACCATGCCAGAGAGGGGGCAGAGACCCAAGGGGGCAACAGGTTGGGGACCACGTTTTGGATTCTATCCTTTGAGCAACGAGAAGCCATGTTGTGGGGTGGGGGGAATTAAATGGGAAAGTGGCTTGACAGGATATATTTTTTTAAAGACCACTCTGGTGACTGTGGAGAATGGGTGGGCTGAGAAGCACTGATGGACATGAGGGACTGGTGAGAGGTGATGGAGCCAGGTGAGAGGTGATGGAGCCAGGTGAGATGTGTTGGAGCCAGGTGAGGGTGATGGGGCCAGGTGAGAGGTGATGGGGCCAGGTGAGAGGTGATGGGGCCAGGTGAGAGGTGAGGATGGTGGCCAGGGAGATGGGGCAGAACTTTCTATATTTGGTGCTGGACTGGCTGTGGAGGGGAAGGAGAGAGAGGAATCGAGGACAGCTGCTAGGGAGGAGGTGGTACCACGCACTGCGAGCCAGAACATGCCAGGAGTGAAGATGATGCGCTTGGAACAAGGCCGCCCTCGCTGAAAGCCTCCGTGCTCTGGCCCGGCTTTCCTCCTCGACATGCACTCCCTCTCGCTCACTAAGCTCCTGCAGCGCTAGCCTCCTTTCAGTCTGTCAGACGTGCCAAACACATTCCCAAGACAGGACCTTTTGACCTGTTGTCCCTCTGGCAGGAACATTGTGCCCCAGCTCTTGGCCTGGGTGTATCCTCCTCCAGGATGGAGTCTCAACTCGAATGCCACCTCCCTCGAGAAGCTTTCCCTGACCACCTCCACCTAAAGTCACCCCATAGGTCCCCATCCCATTGCTCTGTTTTATTTTCTTCATGGCACAATCCCTTGTGTATTTGTTCACAGGTCCATCAAATGCTCCTTCCCACCAGAACAGAGGCTCTGGGGTAAGGGACCTCTGCCTCGTTTCCGTGTGTGCTCCTGTGTCTATAGCAGGGGCTGCTCAGTAAATCAGTGTAGAACGGACCCATGGATTACTGTGGCCAGGACCCAGGTTAGGCTGGGGCTGCAGATTCCAGAACCGTGGCATAGAGACAGCCATTTAAGCTCCAGAAAGGCAGGGAGCACCCAGAGCAAGAAGGCAGGGTAGGAGGAGGACTTAGGACAGAGTCCTGAGGACTCGGCATGTGAGCGCCAGGAGGGGAAAGAGGAGGCGCTGGCTAGAGACCCTCAGAGAGAGGTGAGGCAGGGACGGGCTGGGAGCTGGATCCAGCCAGGCAGGCGCTCCAGAGCCCAGGCTCCCATGCTCCAACATCAGCATCGGAGTGTGGGGAGTGTCCCCAAGTGGGTATTATCCTCATCCTACTTTACTAATGAGGGAGAAAATTTCCGTCACCCAGTGAGTGGCAGCCCCACGGTGTGGACTGAGCATTGTTCTGGAGCCCACAGTCTCAGCCTCTCCTCTCCACCTCAAGAGGAGCTGTCGCGGAGGGGAGAGCTGTGAGGAGGAGAGAGGCGCCAGGAGAGCAGCTGAGATAAAAACTGAAAAGCAGGCGGGAGCAACCAGCCAGAGGCTGGCGATCTTGAGCCCCAGCCTAGGGGGAAGCCAGGCTGGAGCGGAGCGAGGGGTGAGCAGAGCTGAGGACAGGGGCGGCGAGCCTGGGTAGCTCTTTGGAGAAGTTTGGCTGCAAGACGAAGCGAGACAGGGGGTGGTAACTGGAGGAGCCTGCGGGCAGAGGAAGGCTATTTTAAGGTGGAAGAAACCTGAGTGTGTTTCAAAGTTGGAGCCAGCGGAGAAGTGATTAAAGGGGCGTTAAGAAACGGGCGTGAAGGGGGACAGTCAGCACCGCAGGAGTGGGAGGGGGCAGAGGAGGAGAGCGCATCCTCCACACAGGGAAGAGGGTCCTCTCCCAGGGACACGTGGAAAGCCCCTGGCTCCAGGGGAGGTGGGCTTGTGGGTCTGGGGACAGAGTGGAGGGGTCTTGTCTGCTGGCGCCTCTTTTCTGTGAGAAGCAGGAGGCGACAGCATCTCAGCAGAGTGTACGGAGTGCGGGGCAGGGTTTGAGAATGGGGCCGGTTTGCAGTCATCCAGCATTGGGAGAGAGAGCTGGCTGGAGTGAGGGCAGGCGTGGTGAGGGTCCAGTGGGGCTGGTGGCCATTCTTGGTGCCATCAGTCTGCCCAGGGTTGAGATGTTCTTTGGGGGCGCTCAGCAGCCCGGGTGCAAGTTCAAGAACAGAGTCGCAGCCATCCAGGGCTGAGGTCCTCCCGAGAGGGCTCCAGGAAGGAGTGAAGGCAGGCAGCAGGCTGGAGCAGGACTACCACACCCTGGAATCTAACCGCGGGGAAGGAATTGGGGGCAGGGAGGAGCTCAGGGATAGGGAGGAAGCAGAGGCCAACGAGGTCCAGGGACCATTGTGAAAGGTTGGAATGCGCAGGTTAAAGAATAGTGGTGTGACCATAACGCACAGCAGCATCTGAAGTAGGGGTTTTAGAGAGAGAGTAGTTCCGAGCCCTGTCAAGGTAGACAGACAGACAGACAGAGGACTCGGGGGTGGGGTGTGGAGTGTGGCTGAAGTCTCAGCCCTCCGGGCAGGAGGCAGGACACACAGAAGTCTGCTGCAGCTTGGAAGGGAAGCCCAGCAGCCAGGGAATAGGACGAGGTTCCTTTGTGTGTGTTAGTTTTGTTATTTATTGTTTCATTTTGCCTAGGTGTGACGTGTGTGGTAAAGCACTCACACAGTACAAGGGAGCGTATGACAAAAAATAAACCTATCCCTCTCCCCACACGGGGTTCCTGGCCCAGAGGTAACCATCTCCCCACTTTCCCCGTACGGGCTCCTTTCTCCCCCCGGAGGCTGAGGTAGCAGCAGAGGTAGAAGCCTTCCCCACTCCTCCCTCCAAGGCCTCAAGCTTCAGGCCCCTTTCCAGCACCCCAGAACTGCTGGGAAGCACGGACACTCTGGGCCACCCCTCAGTTCTGAAATCATCTTCCCGGACCCCCAAAACAGCCCCCTCC